TCTTGCAGGGGCCCTACATTGCCTGGTGCCCTCTTCTTGCTCCCAATGTACTTGAAAAAGGACTTTTTGTTGTCCTTAATCCTGGACGCTAGCCTGAGTTCCATCTCTGCCTTGGCCTTCCTAATAGCCCTCCTACACCCACGGGCCAAGGAGGAGTTCTTCTCCTTGGTGATAGCTCCTCCCTTCCACTGGTTGTACAGCCCCCCTTTTAGTCCTCAGTCATTCCTGAATGCCCTTGCTGAGCCAAGGGGGTTTCTGAGCACTCTTACCCGCCTTGCTTCTCTCAGGGACTGTTATCGTTTGGGCCTGGAGGATCGCCCCCTTAAGGTACGACCATCCCTCGTGGACTCCCATCTCCTCTACCTTCTGGGCCTTCAGTAGCAGAGAAGTTATGGTGTTTGTCTACAGCTCCAGTCTTGTAAATTTGAGCCCCAGTCCAGAAATGTACCCAAGGTTGCCTCTTCTTGATACACCTGTAAATGTATATCTGATTATTCAGGCAGAATAGTCAAAGGCACCCAGACTAGATACTAGCCACATTGTTCCCTTGTATACTACTATCTACTGAAATTGATATACTTTAATCAGGATAGTCCTATGAGCTGCTACTTCAGGGCAGATCTTTGACCTTTGTTGTGATAAAATCCAGAAACAACGTAAAGATTATACGTTTTTCCAGAGAAGATAGATGAAAGACTTGAGAAGCTGTTTATTTGTTTTGTTGTCGATTCAAATGTGCTACTTCATACACATAAAAAGGAAGAAAAAATGCAAATGGGCAAAAACTACACAAAATTTACTTCTGCCTTGAATAACATGATCCTGAAGAACATGCTGAGTACATGGCACTACAATTCAGTATCAACTTATGCAATTTGAAATAGAAATGGAAATAAACTACCCTTTAAAATATCTTTCTTTGAGAAATGTTGGGAAATAAAGAATCCCAGGAATAAGTAATCTTTGGTTAGAATACTCCCATAGTTTGGAAAAACTATTAAATTCCACCAGAAACAAGGAGCTTACCTCATCCTATACAGCAATGAAACAACATGGGATTTTGTACCACCCTTAAAACTTCTCTCAAGATGGGAGACTTTATCATCTATTTTGTCTCTTCTAATGCGATCTCTAGGGAAAGTGTTACCATACTATCTGAGAATCTCTTGAATACTCCAAAATCAGATATAACAATAGCAGTGAACCCTCTACTTTCTTCCTTCTCTGGTTGAACTACAATAGCTTGCTTCTGAGGAAGGTTTTAGAAATGCAGGTGAGATGGGGGGGTGGATTATGTATGCATACACTGTGTGCATCAACATTAAGGTGACTCAATGACCTCTGGTGCAGTTATGCTGGAGTCAGCTGCTCCCAGGCAAAGCATTTTCATGTGTCCCTGGGACTGCAGCAATTTGAGCTGGGGCAGAGCAGCCCCAAGCCAGCAGGGGGCACAGGAGGTCAGCCCTGGGCTCCAGGTGGCAGTGTTGGGTGGCAGAGGGTCTGGCCGGAGCCAGGAATCTGGCCCTCAGCTGGCTAGGCTACCCAGGCTCAATTGGCGCCCAGCGGTTACCATCTACATGTTCATTTGATTGTACGTAATGACTCTGCTGTAAGATAGTACTGTCCCCAACATTACTGTCCTGCAGTGGAGTTAATTAGTTTACTGCTCCCTGATAGCAGCACATGTGCAGATGGTGATGATGTACTGTGTAATTAATTAGTCAACCCCACAGTAAAGACCATGTGTAGATGCACCCACTGATTCAAACATTAATAAGAGAAAACCAAAACACAGAAATGAATATATTATTGACTCTCTTAGAGTCATGCTGATAAGAAATAAATTCTGAAATGTCCATGTCAATTGTGCAGGTTTTAAGCGTATGCTGGTTTTCATTAGTGTTGTCTCAGGTTCTTGAGAGGTTTGAATTAGACCAAGATTTTGCTTTGCAAATGAAAGGCACATTATCATTAGGCCTGTGCGAAGCAGCTAGTATTTGCTTCGGGTTCGGACTCAGCCAATTTGGAGGACTGTGATTCAATTCGGTGATTCAGATCACTCTCCCGAATCGATTCGGCCGAATCTCCGAATCAACCAGGCCAGGCCCATCCCCGGCACACTCTCCCAGCCCCGGCAATGGCTGCCCTGCCCATGCCAGCTCCCGGCGCTTGGGGGAAAAAAGCCCCAACTCAGTGGGTACTGCCAGGCGGGGGGCAATCCCTGCTGCCCCCCGCTGCCCCACAAAGATTCAGAGAGCTTTGAATTGATTCGAACCTTTTAATTGATCCCCTGATTCGATTCGGATTCGGAGATTCAGCCACTGAATCGGGCTGAATCACCTCCAAATCAAATCACCACCCAAAGCTTCGCACAGCTCTAATTATCATGTATGTTGAAGAGGGGTGACATAGCAAAAACTGAAGCAATGAAGATTCCCTTTAGGGAGTCTTTGGTTATGCGAGACAAAGTGGAAGCTCCACAACCCATGATAAGTGGGGGTGTTTCTGGTGTGTCTGGAGAACTGCTTCTGTGCTCTGGCTTTTTCTGGCATTTTACTTAATAATCTCACTCTTTCTTTTCTCAGATTAACTCCGTCTACAGTTTTAGCGGTTGTCTCAGCAATTTACAACTCAACGGCAAATCAGTCATTTCTCCTTCGCAGACATTCAGTGTAACACCTTGCTTTGAAGGCCCATCAGAAACAGGAACATACTTTTCATCAGCAGGAGGATATGTAGTTCTTGGTAACATGCCATTTAATGAATATATCCCATAAGACTTGCATATTTATTCTAAGGCATGGTAATATACCCAACTCCCCTTCATTGGGTTAGAAATGCCCGACCCCCTTATGTGATATAATTTTTTTGTTTCCTACTTTTCAATTTACTGTCACAAACATATTTTCAAAACTAATATATGTTTTAAAACAAAGTAAAAACAAGAGGTCACTTTTAGAAGGATATAGTCTGCAAAGGTCCATACCCATCATTAATGTGAGGATGGAAATAACATTTCCCACAGATGAATAACATATTTTTCTTCCCACAGATGAATCCTTCAGTTTAGGTCTGAAATTTGAAGTTGTTTTTGAAGCACGTCCTAGAAGCAGCTCGGGAATCCTGATGCATGGACACAGTGTGAATGGCGAGTACCTAAACATGCACATGGAAAATGGACAGGTAAAAAAAAAAAAGTCACTAGCCCTTCTTTGGTATGACTAGGTCCATCTGCAGCCTGCTTGGATTCTGTACTAAATGAACTTTTCTTCTTATACATTCACTATTATTTGAACCTTATTTTTCTCCTCAATATGTTAACCCATTAAACAAGTAGCTAAGCATAACCCAGATACTTCTTTTAACATACATGTCAACTGCTGCAATCAAGTCACTTTCACTGGTTTCAATAATAAATATTTAATGTCCAAATGAAAGGAAAGAAGAACATTGACACATCAGTGTTGCTCTTTCATCTATACATTAAAAATGCGTAAGTTACAAGGTAAGGGGATCTGATTTCGTTTTCTTGTTAGCAAACAATTTTTTTATTTACTTCATGTTCAAAGAAATATACAAGATTGTGCTGTTGTTTTGGCAGGTATCCAAAGGGGTTCCACCTGCTCGTTGGGCTGATAATCAAAGCTCTCTGTCTTTTGTAAGACTAAAATGAAAGCAACAAAGTTAATTGTTTGGACAGTTCTTGCTATAATTTGTGTGTTACAGTAGCACTTAAGGCAGTGATTTGCAACCTTTTTTTGGCTCAGGGCACTCCTTCATAGGTTTTTTGAATTTGGCAGAACCCTGGTTGAGAACCACTACTGTACTCCTTTAGCTTGCCTCAGTGGTTCTCAACCGGGGTGCTGTTGCCAACATGGCCGGGTGAAACTGCCCTGCATGCCTTGTGTGGAGTTAAATCACCAAGTGGCTGTGGCAGGAACAAGCATTAGGGTTATGTGGTAACAGTAATGCATGAAGAAGTACCTACTCCTGCTGCAACCCTTCTTGGCTGACCCTGCATGCAAGCCCAGAAACAGAGGCACACAGGGGAATTGCACTGCCACCAAGTAGAAGTGTCCTGAACACGTCTCCTTCCAGAAGAAGCATGCAGAACTGGACCAAGAAGGGCTACAGCAAAAGCAGGCACTCCTGCCTGTATTAGGTTTATCAGATAATCCTAATGCAGGCAGGAATACTCGCTCCTGCTGCAGCTGCTTCTGCATCTGGCTCCATACAAATGGGTATGGGGCAGTTTCACCTGGCTGCAGAGAGCATGGAAACAGCACTTGTGCTGCAGCACCCCTGAAAGGGTCTCACAGCACCTCAGGGTGCCACAGCATCTTGACTGAGAAACACTCACCTAAAGACACCAATCAAAACACAGCTCCCATTGTGGGAGGTGCTGGACGTACACATACGAGAAAACAGCCCCACCTCAAAAAGTTTGCAATCTAAATAGAGCGGGCAAAGACTTGGAGAAAGGGAGAATCATTTTCCCCACTTTATAGATTGAACTAGGCAAAGACAGAAATGCTTAGAACTGTAGCAAGTTTTCCTCTTTAAATTAACAGGGGAAAGCTTATGGCAGCTGCTTGCAGTGCAATTCTTTGTACTAACTAGTGATTCCCATAAACTCTGTTCAAGTGTAGGCAGAAAGAGGATTAGGACTATCTCAGCTTTATTTCTTGGTGGTCTAGAGAGAAAAATAAACACTCTTCCTAATCATCATTGATGTTGCAACAGAAATCCTCTAGAACAAAATTTGAGTAGCTGCCTTGCATCATTTTCAGTGAACAATCTATGAACATTCATAGAATTATAGAAAAATAGGATTAGAAAGGACTTCAGGAAGGCATCTAGTCCAATCCCCTGCTCAAGACAGGATCATCCCTATTTAAATCAGGTTTGTCTGACCTAATCTTAACAATTTTCAAGGATAAATATGCTGCAACCTCTTTGGATAACCTGTTGCACTGCTTACACAGGTCAGTTCTTAGACAGCCAACTTAAATGGGCAGTCCTCACAAGGAATCTTGCACTCCACAATCAGACCCTCAAAGAGGTGGGATGGTGTTGTGAATAAAGGATTTAAGAGAATTGTTTTCAGTTCCTGAGTCTGCCACAGGTTTCTCATGTGACCTTGGGCAACTAACTTAATCTCTGTGCCTTGATTCTACAGCTGTACAAATGAGATACTAATTCCCTACCCAGTCAACCGTTGTTTGCCTTGTCTGTTTATACTGCAATGTCTTCAAGACAAAGACTGTCTCTTATGAAGTGTCTACCAAGACAGGACTTGAATGTCATTTGAGACCTCTAAGCACTAATGTAATACGGAAATCAAGAGGACAGCAATTTTAAAGTATTTGGAAGCAATTAATTCAGCTGTGGCCACATCTACACAAAATGTTGACTGCGCAGCAGCTCATTACTACTGCACAGTAGCTTGTTACTACTGCACAGTAGCACCACGTGGCATGACACAACACTACTGCACAGTAGTGACAAGCTAGTGTGCACTAGTAATGAGCTACTATGCAACCAGCATGACCAAAAGCCATTCAGGGCCGCTACTGCACAGTAACTCCAGTTACTGCACAGTCAATTAGTACATGTGTATGCAACTAACAACTGCTCAGTCAATGTAGACATGGCCTGTGTTTACTTTTAACCAAGGATAAAAAAAAAAACATGTTCCTATGTTCAGATCAGAAACATCCCGAAAGCTACTGAAATGAGGAACTTAAAACTTGGTTTAGTTTGAAGAATTCTTTGAACATGATTATGAAGAAAAGTGGTTAAAGTTATAAAAGTTTAAAGTAGGAACTTTGCATTAATGCAGAAAAAGGAAAAGAAAAGCAAAAGTTGGTTGGAAAAGATTTTGCAGTGTAATTACATTATTTTCTCACAGGTAATAGTGAAACTGAATAATGGAGTCAGAGACTTTTCAACTTCAGTTACACCAAAACAGAGTCTCTGTGATGGCAAGTGGCACAGAATGGCAGGTGAGTAAAATCTGATCTTACCCATAATGATAGCAGAGCTTTGTTCTCCCTTTATCCCATCCCTCCACTTGGGCTAAGGCAGTGGAAGCAAGGTCATGCCATGTCTATCATGTCTCACTCTTTTTCTCACTATTATTCTCACTTCTCACTGTTGTTTGGGTTTAAACAGTCCCTGAAACAAACCTACTTCAAAGAAGCAAATCTTTGTTCTCCCCCAAGCACTGTAGTGCTTCTGAAACTTTCACACTGCAAGCAAAAGTAGGACACATCTTACAAAAAGGTCAGAGACAATCTAATACCCCATGCTATACAGCAGACTGGTTCCCCACCATCTGCTGGCCTATGGATAACAGTTCAAAGAAGTAACATGCTGTGAGCAACCTCCCACTTTGCTCTTTCTGTCAACATTAACTGTAGTGATAATGGCCTCGGTTTTGACTTTCAATTTGCTGCAGTCACAGGCAACACGGAGATTCTTGGCTACGTGTTGCTGTGATCCGGAGATTGAGAACCAGTGAAATAGACATTTGTGCATGTTGTTTGTTCTCAATTTTGGGGGGGGGCTTTGTACCCCTTTTAAAGTTTGTTATGCAGCTGTGTATCCCTATTGTTCTGTGTTACATATAAGAAAGGAACAGTTGGTGTTACTATAACCACAATGTAATCTCTCCGGTAACCTAAAGCAGCGTTATCAAACTCATCCTGCTCTGTTGGCCGGATAAATTGCAGGCCACATTGGGCCCACAGAGTACCCCATGTGCTGAATCCAGCTGGACTAGTCCAGTGTGGTACCACATGCGGTGCATGCCCTGGCGTAGCCGTGCATGCGACCTGCAGCGCTTGCCCCAGACCAGCCCCATATGCAGGGCTGGTCTGCATCACCAATCCAGACCAGCCCTGGATCCAGCAGGCAGGGTCAGTCTGGCACCAGCACCATATACAGCATGCACTCCAGACTGACCGTATGCACTGAATGCAGCATGCATTGGTCTTGGCCCCACAGGGCACACAGCACATGGCGCTGATCCAGGGCACATGCTGCATGTGGCACCTGCATTAGACCAGGCCTGTGTGCTGAATCTGGCATGAACACCCATTCTGTAGGCCTGATCCAGACTGCCTCCAGATACAGCAGGAAGGACCAGTCCGATACAGGCACTGCATGCAGTGCCCTAGACTGGCCCCGTGCTGTGTTCCGCAGGTAGGGCCTCGCCAGCACAT